AGGGTTCATAGAAGGCTCAACAAGTAGAAAATATAAACACAAGAAGCAAAATGAAAAGTTTTGCAGAAGAGTCTGAGGCAAAATAAATGTAATTCTTTAAATGGCCAAGGAAAATAGCCTTTAAAGGTTGCTACAAGACACACACACACACACACATACACCATCAAAACTAGACAGCTTAAACTAGTGATTCCTAATTTTTTTAGAATGGTGACACTCCAACAATCTTTCATTTTGCAATTTTCCTTCCTTAAGACGCTATATGCCTGTGGCTATTCATTCAACCAATCTTTATTACATGATCACTCTGCTAGAACTCTCCAAGTTCATAATGTATATACAGGCTTCTTCTTTCAGTCAGGTGAATATCAAAATTAGAGATTTCTAACAATGATTTTGGAGTAACTCAGGCTGACTGTATTTATATGTTATTGCAAAAGATTTCATGAAATTCAATTTTTATTTATACTGCTATATGAATAAATGCAAATATACCAATGCACATGTCCAGCATTACATATATCAGAAGTGATCTATATGATTTATACTAGAGATTTTTACCTTTTAGGAGATGCAACACCTCATGATTATTCTGTAATGTCTCTCTCTCTCTTAAAAATCACTCAGCTTCGAACTTACACCAGAAAAAAAATTCAAGGTACTTTTTATACCTTTAATTCATTTGAACCTATCCATCTTCAAAGACAGGCAAATCTAATGCTAACATCTATCATTCTCATTGCTCCCTAATGTGTATTTTAGTTTGATAAAATTCTTATAACCTAAAGTAATGAAATAAAAACAATGTAATGTATGCACTTGAATTTTCTACTGTACCAATTATAATGGGAAGAATACTAACAGCCAACGCTTAATCAGTGCAAGATACATTTTCTCATGTAATCCTTATAACACATGTGTATCAGCCAAATAAACTATCTTTGAAGAAATTAAAGATAGCTTTGGTTTATGCGGTATCTCTGAGGTCCTTCCCTGTATCACAAGTACATTGCTGAAGAAATGACCGGGAGGAACCTGGGGCTGCCTGGGCCCCAGCATTCCTATCTGGTTACACAGATGTACCACTTGTGTATTTTTTTGTTTTTGTTTTTGTTTTTTTGGCATTTTCCTATGGTTAAAAAAAAAAAAGCGATGACAATTTTCTGCATCTATAACATTTTGGATGAGCCATTTCCATCCTATTTTGTTTCCTCACATATGGTGTTCTAGCTCAAATAGCATTGGTATTTTTAACTTGCACAGTTATCAGTAAACTACTTTGAATTACTCTTTGCTGACACGTATCCAAATTACCTAACACAAATGAGAAAACTGCATGCATTATTTAGGCTAGTGTGTGCACTGCCTTTCAGCTATAAATTTTCCAATAGAATCAATATATTTTACAGATGGAAGAGATCACAAAGAAAATGCAACCTGGCTACTTCTTTTTACCAGTGAGAATGTATAGCAGAGAAGTTAAAGTGTCTCTCCTAGGTCAGATCAGTAGTTAGGATTGTGGGGGCGGGGGGGTAGGGGAAAGTAATAGCAGTCCAGCGCTTTTTCTACATTAAAATGTAAGTATTATTTTTAAATCTACATTATTTGTCAGAGGAGGTATCAATCATAAATAATTGGCTGGTTTTTATAATACTGTGTTATCATCATTACTGAAATTTAACACTTGTGATAACTGGTTATACAATATGGTTATACATCATTGCTGCTCTCAGTTATTTCCTGTATGCCTGTTTTGGGTCCATATCTAAATTGTGACTGTGGTAGGCACATATCTTTAATGTTTCCTATATCCCTCAATAAATATACACACATATGAACTGCATAAGAGTTGGAAAGAGATTGACAAGAGTATATTTATAGTTAGACCAGTGGTCAGGAAACTCATTATTCAACAGAGCCAAATATCAACAGTACAACGATTGAAATTTGAGAGCCACATTTTTTAAACTTAAACTTCTCCTAACGCCACTTCTTCAAAATAGACTTGCCCAGGCCGTGGTATTTTGTGGAAGGGTCACATTCAAGGATCCAAAGAGCTGCATGTGGCTTGAGAGCCGCAGTTTGCTGTCCACGGGTTTAGACTAATACTCCAAGACTCAGAATAAAACTGAACAGCTGTCATTCTGTATGGCTGCAGGTGAGTTTGTTTTCAGAGGGAGAAAATGGAGAAAAGTCCTCATTTCTTCATATTAAGTAGTTGCGATGGTCCCTGATGGTGAGTCATTTTAGGAGCTTGAGGAGATTGGTAAAGGTTAGAATAGAAATTAGAGGGAATGATGAGATCGTTGGCTAAGCCTTAAGACATGAAGTAAAATATGCCAATTAAATTGCTCAATAAAAATAGTAGCTAATGAAAAAATTAAAACGGGAGAGAATCCAAGATGGCTGCACAGGTAAATACCTAGCTGCAGCCGCACACAACAATTTCAACAAAATACAACTAAAATATAAAATGGACATTACCCAGAACTACAGGAAAGTCGACTAACTGGAAATTCTACAACGAGAAGCAAGGAGAAAACCAGAAGGAAGCCCGGAGGAGCTGTAAAAGCCTAAGGTAAGGAGACACGTGGCGCGCGCAGAGAGGACGGAGCAGGAGAGAAGGGGCGGCTTCCAAAGAAGCAAGAAGGCAAGAGAATCCAGAAAATTGAAGATAATGTAAGAAACCTCTGGGACAACTTCAAGCAAACCGACATCAGAATTATGGGGGTCCCAGAAGATGAGAGAGAGCAAGATATCGAAAACATACTGAAAGAAATAGTGACAGAAAACTTCCCCCACCTGGTGAAAGAATTAGACTTACAAGTCCAGGAAACACACAGAACTCCAAACAAAAGGAATCCAAAGAGGACCATACCAAGACACATCATAATTAAAATTCCAAGAGCAAAAGACAAAGAGAGAATATTAAAAGCAGCAAGAGCAAAGCAGGTAAGTTACCTATAAAGGAGCACCATACGATTGTCAGCTGATTTCTCAACAGAAACCATGCAGGCCAGATGGGAATGGCAAGAAATGTTCAAGGTGATGAATAGTAAGAACCTACAGCCAAAGATAATCTACCCAGCAAAGCTATCACTCAGAATCGAAAGCCAGATAAAGAGCTTCACTAATAAAAAAAAAAGCTAAAAGAGTTCATCACCACCAAACCAGAATTATATGAATTGCTGAAGGGGGTTCTTTCGGAAGAGAAAGTAAATAAATATAAAAATTATGAACAACAAATACATAACTATCAACAAGTGAATCTAAAAACCAAGGAAATTAAAAAAAAATCTGATGAACAATATTAACTGTTGAATATAATAGAATCAGAGGTATGGAAGGGGAGTGAACTGACGATTCTTGGGGAAAAGGGGAGAGGGGGATGTGGGAAGAGACTGAACATAAACTGTGCACCTATGGATGAGGACAATGTATGCAGTGTTTAAAGCAGTCTTCATATTTGCTTACCCGCCCACCCCTTAATCCCCAAACACACACATACTATAGTACTTACCCACACATTCAAGTCTTACTTCTATTCATATACTCTTTTCCTCATAGGACGTAAGCTCACATATGTACAAAGAGTCCTGGGGCCAAACTCCACTCTCCCACATTTCTTCAAGGTAAACGTCAAGACAAACTCATACTGACTCTGGGTTACAAAACACACGCACACCCATAGCCCAACGCACAGCAGAGTTCAACTCAATAAGGATTTTTTCTTCTCCCATTTACCCAGGGAAATGCACGAGTTACCATGACAGATGCCAAAGACATTTGGCTCTGGCAGTGGAAACTGGGCGGCAATGGTGAGATGAGGTAAGAAATTCCAGGGCCAGAAGGTGGACCAGGTCATCAGCTGCTTTCCCGGAGCTGGCTCTTTTGGATAAGCGCTGCGGGAACAGGCCCCGCCAGCGGCGAGAGCTCCAGTCCCCTGGCCCCATTCTACGCCTGGCTGCGCCTGGAGCAGATGCACACACCGCGGGGAGTCTCATTTGCAAGACCCGAGTGCTCCCCAGCTCTTTTTTTTTTTTTTTTTGGTTGATTTTATTTATATATTTGGTTTCTTTTTTATTATTATTAAATTATTATCTATGTACATATCTTACCATTGCCCTCCCCTCCCATACATGCCCTCCCTCCCCAGAGCTTTGTATCCATTGGTTGTACTTATATGCATGTCTCTTTTAATGCCTGCCGCAGGGAAAAGGGTGTTGTCAGAAACTGTGAACCTTGAGAGCCAAGCTTTTTCTCGTGCAAGGAGTAGGCAGCCCAAGAGCAGCAATCATGTCCTGCACAGTGCTTAATGGTTCTGGGGAAAACAAGTCTCTCTCCTGCCTGCATTCTCCTTCTTGCCTGCACTTTGCAGCCCGCAGCTCCGGGGTGAGGTGCAGACAGACTCGAGCTGCGGGGGACAGGGACACTTAGCGCCGCCCCAGGGCCAAGGGGAGGCTCCAGAACGGCCCCTTGCTGATCCCAAGGGTGGGGTGGGCCCTGATAAATAAAGATGCTTCCTGGCCAGATGGAGGGAAGGCCAAGTTCAAACGCAGGCTGTCCAGCCTGGGGTAGGTCCGGGAAGGAAGCCCAGAGATCCGGCCAGCCTCCCCCGCCCGCAGTGTGGACGCGCCAGCTACCCCTGCAGAGCTGGAGCCGGAGCCGGGTACTGCGCATGCACAGCGGTACCCCCCTACCCCCCCCTCCTGGCACCCCGTCTCCTCCCCCCTCCTCCTCCAGGCACCCAGTCCCCCCCCTCCCCTCCTCCCTTCCTCCCGGCACCCCGTCTCCCCTACCCCCCCTCCCGCTCCTCCCGGCACCCAGTCTCCCCCCCCCCCCCCCCCCCCCACACACACACACACACACGCTCCCAAAGGCCTCGGTCGCTTAGCAACGCGTGAGTCACAATCGTGGCTCCGAATGCCCTTTTCCTGGCAGAACTTAGTCCCAGATCGACCCCGAGGCTCCTGGCCGCATGTGTCAGGTCTGAGGAGCCCATGGAACCAAAGGAGGATCCGCAGCAGTAAGTGTTGGGGTTTGATGTGCTAGTTCTCCTTCCAAACAGCATTTTCCTCCTCCGGGGGGCCGCTCATGGAGCTATCCCCAATGGCGGGCTCTCCCTCTGCCAGTCCCCATCCCCAGTGGGGGGGCTCTCCCTCTCCCAGTCCCCCATCCCCAATGGGGGGCTCTCCCTCTGCCAGTCCCCCATCCCCAATGGGGGGGCTCTCCCTCTGCCAGTCCCCCATCCCCAATGGGGGGCTTTCCCTCTGCCAGTCCCCCATCCCCAATGGGGAGGGGGCTCTCCCTCTCCCAGTCCCCCATCCCCAATCGGGGGCTCTCCCTCTGCCAGTCCCCCATCCCCAATGGGGGGGGGGGCTCTCCCTCTGCCAGTCCCCCATCCCCAATGGGGGGGCTTTCCCTCTGCCAGCCCCCATCGCTGTCTCCGTCCTGTCCCAGTGGTGGGGCACTCACAGCCCCGCTTCTGAAAGCGCTCCGTTTTCCGGGCATCCACTGTGTGCCAGGGGTGCCAGGTTCTTCGCAGGCACTGCAGCCTGGCCTAACGTTCCTGAAGTCATCCCGAATTATCCACTCTTTCTCACAAACCGCATCTAATTTGCTAGCAAAATTCTATAGGAGAGAGAATGTAATTTTACTTTTTATTCTTTTCGGTTCTTTTTTTATTTAAAAAAATCTTAATAGTTTAAAGTATTACCTAGGTCCTCTTTCCACCCCCTAATAGGTAGGCTTTATCTTTAAAATATATCCAGAATCCACCGTGATGAGTGCCTTACACCGTCACCCCACCTGGTCTAAGCACCTGCTCTACATGGACGGTACAAAGGCCTTTGCTTCGCTCCTTGTCCCTTTCCAGCCTTCTCAACACAGCACTCGGTCGAGTGGGCTTCGCACAAGACAAATTAGATCCCCCTTCTCCACTGGCCCTTGCAAAGAAAACGCTAAGGCTCCAACAATGGCGTATGGGGCCTACTCATTGGGCCCCTCTTCCCTTCCGTGGCCGTATCTACTACTCGCCCTCTGACGCAACTCTGCTCCAGCACACAGGCCGGCCTTGCTGGCATCAGCAGTGGTTCTCAGAGTGTGGTCCCCAGGCCAGCATCACCTGGGGAGGTATTAGAAATGCAGTTGTTGCACGAACCCCACCACAGGCACACCGACTCAGCAACGCTAAGAGCAGGGCACAGTAATCAGTCTGGTTTGAACAAGGCCTCCAGGGGATTCTGACGGACCCTAAGTTTTGAGAACGATTGCATAGCTCATTATGATGTGGAGCCAGTACTATCTGCTTCTAAAGCCTGTATTTTTGGCACTACACAGTGGTTCTCAGACTCAAACGTACACAAGAATCACCTAGAGAGCCGGTTAAAACAGGTTCCTGGGAACCTGCCCCAGAGATTGTGTTTCAGTAGCTTGGGATAGGAAATATTTCTAACAAGCTGACAATTGAGGCCAATGTTGCTTCTCCGGGTCCACACCTTGAGCACCATGGTGAGACAGGTGCGCTTCTGCGGCACAGCCTGGCAGTGAGAGTTCACTCTGCTGGGATTCTCTTCCCTCTTCCCTGTCTTTTTCACTTGCCACCTTCATAAGGCAGCCTGCACGCTATATACAAATGCAATTTACCTCCCATACACACACACGCCTGTCTCCCATTCTTTAGTATTGGCCTTAGTACACAACACCATCTCACAGAATACTGGCATACTTTTCTTCATGGTGCTTCGCTTTACTGCGCTCCACAGAGGTTGTATTTCTTACAAACTGAAGGCAAGACCCTCCACCAGCAAAAAGGTTGCACCTTGCGTTATTGCGATACTTGTTTTATGGTGGCGGATAGTGTAAGGCAATATCTCCGAGGTATGCCTGTATGTGTTTTACTTATTATTTTCTTTTCCATCTGCCTTCCTGCTAGAATGTAAGCCCTGTGAAGGCAGGGTTTTTGTTAGATCCCTCCTGCAGCTTCAGGGCCTCACCCACAGCACTTAGAGGCATGGCTCAATAAGTATTTGTTGAAGTAATGAATTATTCAATGTTATTCTCACATCTCTCACAGCAGGCATTACGGTCCTTAGCTTTCAAATGAGGAAACCAAGGCTCAGACAGTCAATGGCTGGAATCCCAGCTCTGATTAACTTGGAGTTTTTCAAACACAGGTTTTAACTGTGTTTTCCTTCTAATAAGAGATTATTATAGAATCATATACTTGACATTGACGTATAGTTACTCATACCACGAGCACTTAATTGGGTGGATGCTTATGTATGCAAGTAAACAGCCACAGTCCTTTCCTCCAAGGACCGGTTCCAGTACAAGCATCTTGCTGGGTTATAGCTATGAGAAGCAAATGGAAAAAAAACGAACGTCAGAAGTTTTGAATCAATCACAACCTTTAAATAAATGTTTCCATCTATGGAAAGGTAATAGGAAAAGCCCTAGGAGTTATTTATACTTTAGCAGGAATCAGCTTTTCCAAATCCTTTACAGAGAGCACTTTTTGTTGGGATGCAGGGAACTAGGATCTCAGGATGTTGAACAGTGTTTGTGTGTATTCGAGTAAGGGCTGGAAGTGTACCGCTACAACAAAGCCAGAGAAAACCGTTCCAGGGGATTCACTAGCGGTGGTGGATCTGCATAGAAAATATAATGGTCCAGATGGTGGGGACCTAATGATAAATGAAACACAATCTTTGCCTTCATGGAACTTATTGATTAGTAAAAGGTATTGTAGTGCTTACCAAAATCATGTAAACAAGAAGTAGGTACATAAATAATTAATTGTGGTGTTATGCAAGAAATGAACGGGATACTAAAATGGAGATTACATAGAGTGAGGAAGGAGAAACCTTAGGAAATGTTTCTGCGATGACCTCCAGGCTGAGACGGAAATGTTAGTGAACCAGGTGCACAGGGAGGCAGGTGTGCAGGGAGCTGGGAATGAGCCAGTTCAGGCAGAGGGAAGGCATTATGTGCAAATACCTGCGGGGAAAGACACTGGTGCTGAAGGAAGGGGGGCTGGTTGCAGAAGTGACGGGGAGGGTCTTGAGTGCACTGAAGACTTCCGCTGGACAGGGTCTCCCAGGACCTCAGAGCCACAGTGTGAAGGCAGCATTCATTGCAAATGCAATGAAAAAACATTGGAGGGTTTAACTGGAAAAGGACTTGATAAAGGACCTGGCCCTGGCTTTGGTTTGAAGGGAGGGATTATATTTTAAGGGATTCTATTTTAAAAGCTTCTATGTAAAAGTATTCTAATTCATATGTTCCATTCTTACCTTTACTTTTCAAGCGTATGACATTTAAAATACTCTTCTATAAGGTCTACTACCACTTATTTAAAAGAAGAAAAATCTATAAACTATTTCCTTCTAATCATTTCTTTTAACTTTTTAAAGAACTCAGTAAGTTTCATTTTTAAAAAAATACCAGTGTAGTTATTAGAAGTCACAAGTGATAAGAAATGGAATTGTTTTGATGCCTGCACAGTGGTCTTTTCTTGATTAATTCTTTTGGTCATTTGGTAGTTTTTGTAAGTTTTCCAGGTGAGCTTTTAAAATAGTCTTCCTCATCCAGATGGATGAATTTACTAGGTAACTAGCTTAAAGGTGAGTTAAGATTAGTAAGTAACAGTCGCAGGATAAAATACTACAAATATGCTTTGTAAGAGGGATCAAATCACTACTCCTCTCCTCTCAGCGAGAGTCTGTACACTGCGTTGGTATATTGGACTACATAATCAATATTCACACAAATCCCTTTATCTCATATAATTTAGAGAAGATACCCTCTCAAATTTTAATAGCAGGAGTCCCTTATAAATTATAATGAAGCCTAAATAGTCTTGATTGATACTTGAAATATATTTAACTCTTATTTTATGTAATTATAACTCATTACTGAAAATGCTCATTGAGATAAATGATTTACTATTTCATTCTGTTTTTCAGACAGCATAAAATAGAAGATGCTGGTATAATGTATATAACTGAAAAAGAAGAACTCAAACATGAAAAAGAACCTGGAAAGAGCACATCACATTCAAAACCAGGCATCATGATACGCCGTGTATATTATGCTAAATTCATTAACACAAATGCAAGAACATATAATGAACCAGTTCCCTACATAGATCCCAAAAAAGGGTCAGAATATCAGGTTGGACAGATGTTCATTATATACAACTAAAATTTAGATTCAGAAGCTCTTTTGCAAGATAATTTAGACACAGACTACTTAAAGGATGTAACATATGTCAGAGTAATACTTTTCATAATCCAACTAGAGGCCCAGTGCACAAAATTCGTGCACAGATAGGGTCCCTAGGCCTGGCTGGTGATCAGAGCCAATTGGGATTTGGGCCTCCTGGCTGTGGGCCCTGGCCTTCCTTCCCCAGCTGCCAGCTGCCTGCTGGGGCCTCCTTTCATTCCAAGCTGCCCCCCTGGTCACATCATATAGTCAGTGCACATCATAACGAGCAATCAAAATCCTGGTTGAACTCCCGAGGGGACACCTTGCATATTAACCTTTTATATGTATAGTTTAAAGCAGTAGCCTGGAACTACTCTCATGTAACTTTTGCATACAAACCATATACAAACACACATATTTCATATACATTACATGCATTTCATTATAGACAGTCCTTGGGTTACATCAGACTGGACATAGGTCATTTCATGGTTACATCGCCATCTCCCATTTATTTATAAAATAAAAAAGTCCATCATTTCAATGTATGTACATATGTACTTTATGTTTTTTTTATTATTTATATACCACAAGTAAAGGTCAGGAATTTTTTTTTTAATATATTTTATTGATTTTTTTACAGAGAGGAAGGGAGAGAGAGAGAGAGGTATAAACATCGATGAGAGAGAAACATCGACCAGCTGCCTCCTGCACACCCCCTACTGGGGATGTGCCCGCAACCAAGGTACATGCCCTTGACGGGAATCGAACCTAGCACCTTTCAGTCCGTAGACCAATTATCTTTCTTTTAAAAATTTTTTTACTGCTTCACTTCATTATTGCTGTGTATGTGCTCCATGTGAGTGACGTAGGTGCATATGTAGGTGGGTTCCAACTGACGGCAAAAATCACTGAGGCAAAAATCACAATTATATCCCACGTTATGTCGCACTGAGGACCTACTGTATATATATATATGCCATATTCACTCCAGAAAAATGATTTAGATTCCACACACACACACACACACACACACACACACACACACACATATACACACACACACAGTAGTGCTCGGAGATTACTGAAAAATATCTTCTATGGTATTTGTAACATATTCTAATATAAAAAGTTTATATTAGAATAATTCAGATGCTTTCTATAAAATAATAGCTACCATTTATTGAAAGTGTATGAATTGTTAGGAATGAGCTAAGTGTTTCATATGTTATATCCCCTAGTCTGCACAATAATTTCTATGATGTATCATTGGAAATATTTTACAGATAACATATTCCAAAAAGTAAATTAACATGTCTGAGATTACAAAGTAAGAAAATGCCACAGTCATCTCTCTCTGGTCCAGGACTACTGCTTTAGCCAAACCACACTCTTATTCACACTATTAGAGTAAATATTTTCCATTATCTCCTTTTATTAAATTCGACTTTTTTTGAGGTATAATTTATCAGTTTCCTACTGCTACTGTTACAAATAACCACAAACTTAAACACTAGCTAAAAAGCAACACTAATTTATTCCCTTTCACTTCTGGAGCTTAGAAGTCTCACATTGGTCTCATTGGTGATCCGTAGGGCTGGTTCCTTCTAGAGCAGTGGTTCTCAACCTTCCTAATGCCACAACCCTTTATTATGGTTCCTCATGTTGTGGTGACCCCAACCATAAAATTATTTTTGTTGCTACTTCATAACTGTAATTTTGCTACTGTTATGAATTATAATGTAAATATTTGTGTTTTCCGATGGTCTTAGGTGACCCTGCTAGCAGTTCTCAATCTGTGGGTCTCGATCCACAAGTTGAGAACCGCTAGTAAGGTCACCACAAGTTGAGAACCACTAGAGGGTCTGAGGAGAGAATCTGTTTCCAGTTTCTAGAAGCTGCCTGCATTCCTTGGTTCATGGCTCCTTCCTGGTCAAAACCAGCATCATCTCTCATCTCTCTCCCTCTCCCTCTCTCCTCTCCCTCTCTCCTCTCCCTCTCTCCTCTCCCTCTCTCCTCTCCCTCTCTCCTCTCCCTCTCTCCTCTCCCTCTCTCCTCTCCCTCTCTCCTCTCCCTCTCCCTCCCTCTCCCTCCCTCTCCCCCTCTCTCTCAATAACAGCCACAGAGTTCTTTTTGCCTTGTAAATTTGGATATAGTATGTGTGGATGTGAAGTGGGAATTTCTGAGGTCAGATATGCTTTAATATCATTTAGTGAACCCTTACATGGGCAGTTTTAAGATTATTTTATTAAAATTTATTTGGTATTTAAAAGAAATTTACCGACAAGGCCTACACTGGGGAAATAAGCCTGGTACAGATATCCAGGTTAGTGAAGTTCCCAGATATTTTACGAAAGTCAATGAGTGACTCTCCTGAGCTCTAGTTTCGGCTGAATGTAAACCAGACTATTAACTGAACCCATCCTTACAAATTTCGTGCACCGGGCCTCCAGTATATAATAAAATTGTACAATACAGAAATATAACTATTTTGTTGATTTTTATAACTCCATCTGTTAATAGAAGGTAGTTTAAGAATTTAGCATCTGTATGTTAGCTAAAAATGTGAGATATTTCATTTTTAGGTGTCTTTTAAGAAATACAGCCTTTATGAAAATATGTTAGATTTCAGAACTTTGTTTTAGTACTAGACTATCCAATGACTCATGGAACCAAATGACTGTCCATTAAAAGTCCTTAAGCAGCACGCAGAAATGGCCTATAGTATCCAATTTTATATTTCTAATTTTTTTCCATAAAGGTTGACTGGTGGTCACATGGTAAAGAACCCGAGCATCACTTTCAACCACCTTATGACACTAAGAGCACCCAGAGGAGTGACTTTCAAAAACCAATGTGCCCATTGGTTTTGCCAGTCAGACACAGCAAGTTTCAAAAGCCTACTCGTGGAATAGGTAAGGTTAGCAGCGGTAAAACGTCTCAATTACCTCAGGTTACTCCTATCAAGTTACGATGGTTAGATCTGCTGGCACCTCCTGAGAAAACCTCTTCTCTACAGAAGGTGAAAACAGACAAGCAAGTGCATCCCTTGACATGTTTTTTTTTTCTTTATCCCTTCCTTGTGGACAGTGTATCTCCAAACATGTCTTATATACCATCATAAAAATTGTACTGACTAGTAAGCACTAACTTCCAAGTCAGAAACTTAGTAGCATTCTGCTCTTTATTACACCAAACTTTAAAAACTGTCACTGTTAAAATAGTAGGCAACACTATATGGTACCCTGTTTCCACGAAAATAAGTGTCTTATATTAATTTTTTCTCCCAAAGTTGCGCTAGGTCTTATTTTCAGGGGATGTCTTATCTTTCCATGCGCCAGGTCTTATTTTCGGAGGATGTCTTATTTTGGGGGAAACACGGTAGTATTTCTCAAAGTGCAATCTGAAGAGTACTTGTTTTTGCGATGTTTATAGATGCTCAAAAACAAACAAACAAACAAACAAAAAAAACCCAGGTTGGCCAACACATAGAGACGCCCAATATGTCTTCCGATAAAGGACTGATAAAGAAGATGTGGTACATACGTATATGCTATGGAATACTACTCAGCCATAAGAAAAGATGAAATACTGCCATTTGCAACAACATGGATGAAACTTGAGAACATTATGCTAAGCAAAATCAGTCAGTCAAAGAAAGCCAACAACTCATATGTAGAATATCAAACAGAAACTCACAGAAATAGAGAACAATATGGGGGTTACTAAAAGGAAGGGGATGAGTGGTGGAAGAGCGTAAAGGGGGCCAAATATTTGATGAAGGAAGATGATTTGTTGATGGGCGGTGGGCACAGAATGCAACGTTCAGATCGTGTGTAATGTACACAGTCATGTACATTTGAATGCTATATGACCCTATTACCAATGTCACCTCAATAAATTTAATTTTTAAAAAAACAGGGAAGAAGTGGTTAAATATAAGTTTTGTGAAAACTGAATTTATACAGATATCTAGATAGATATCTCTATCTATCTAGATATCTGTATATATATATTTATACAGATATATTTATATTTTTTATAAAAAATAAAATATATTTATACAGATATCTGTATATATATTCAGAACTCTTAAAATTCTTATTCTAAGCATAAACAAAGTTCTCAGGAGCAGTAATTTTTTAACCAAGAAAAGAGGAATTGTATGACATGGACACTAGAAATTTGTTTTCAAGTGGGCATTGGATCCACTGAGAAACAAATGTAGTCCTGCAACAATATTTGGACCCTCAGTGAACAAAATTCATTTATATTGTAAATGCTGTTTAGCAAGTCTCAACTTTTAGCATCAATCTAGAAACACAATATGGAAAACCTAAACACTGAATAGAATTTAAATTTTATAGAACAGAATTATGTAAATATAATTTACCTTTCACAAGAAAGGTAAATATACAGTTGACAGAAGATGAGGAGTAGAAGGGTGTAAGATCATTATTGAAGGTGAGCACTCCAGAGATGCGACCCAAAGTAGATGAAACAAGTAACAGAGATTAAGCTTAAAGTGAAGGGACCTAATATACGAACCAATTTTCTCTCCAGCCCTGGCCTCTTCACTGAACTTCAAGACTACATAGCCAACCACCTACTTGACATCTTTTCTTGGAAACTAACCTCCTTATCAAAAATAGAACATCTCATTCCTCCACCAGCCTTTCCCATCTCAATAAATGTCACTTCTATGCCCCCAGATGCTCATGTTTTAATAATCTAGAAGTCATTCTAAAACTCCCTCTACATCCAGCCCATCAGCAAATCTTGAATTTTCAGTTTTCAAAATATATCCCAAATCTTCTTGCCAATGTAGTGCAGCCACTGCTTCCTCACCCCATCCTTTCTCCTCTATAATTTGTTACACATACCAGAAGGATTTTTTAAAATCATAAATGATATCACTCTCCCCCTTTAGGTCCTCCAGTGACTTCTTTTTTAATATATTTTATTGATTTTGTACAGAGAAGAAGAGAGAGGGATAGAGAGTTAGAAACATCGATGAGAGAGTTATCGATCAGCTGCCTTTTGCACGTGGACATGCATGTGGACATGGAAAATGTGTATATAAACATGCATTAATGCCAATTATAAGTCATCTCCTAGTCATTCTGTTCCATCAGTTTGTTTTTCACACCCCCTACTGGGGATATGCCCGCAACCAAGGTACATGCCCTTGACCGGAATCGAACCTGGGACCTTTCAGTCCCCAAGCTGATGCTCTACACACTGAGCCAAACCGGGTTCCGCTCCTCCAGTTACTTCTTGTTTGTCATGAGAAAAAAAAAAAATGTCTACCACTATGCTTAGTACAGAGCAGACAACAAATGGTAGCTATTTCTATTAATTACTAGAGGCCCAATGCATGAAATTCATACAAGGGGCTCAGCCCTCGCTGCCATGGCAACTGCCTCAGCAGCCCTGGCTTCGTCTGGTAGGTCATCCAGAAGGATGTCTGGAAGGTTGTTCGGCTGTTCGGTCTAATTAGCATATTACGCTTTTTATTATTATAGATTGTACTGAACCAACTAGGTGTTGAACTGGAATCTAACTTCGGGAATCTGGCATGGATGCCTTCCTTCCTCCCTCTACTTGCCTTCCCTCCACTCCCTCCTCCTCTGCCTCCTCCTTTCTTCTGTCTTTCCCTCTTCTTTTATCGGTATTTCTCATTGACAAGTCCATTATTGTAACCAAGTCCTAGCACAATGCCCAGAATCAACCAATGCTTATTGATTAATGATACGTGTCATCCAACAGATTACATAAAGTCATACTGTAATTTCAACTAACATACATACCAATATAGGCTTGCAATTTATTCATATTTTAGATGATAACTGGATTATAGATGAACGTGACTTTAAAAGAAAATATTTTAATGTAACATTTTGAAGTACTTATATAAATGAGTCTGTATATGTCAGCTTATGCACGGGGACATGGAAAATGTGTATATAAACATGCATTAATGCCAATTATAAGTCATCTCCTAGTCATTCTGTTCCTTCAGCCCACTTAATTATGCCTGGCCTTTGGCATTTCATCTTGCGCTGACAGTGAAAGTCCCTTTATGTCTTGTACCACCACGCAATTTCCTGGCTGCCTTCCACAGTCAATTCAACAAATGACTATGCTCCATCATCTCCGAGTCCCTGTAAGAATAAGTATTAACTTTGGGTTTTATGTAATAAATCTTTATAAATTGGAAAAGCTGATCTAATTTGTGAGGGAGGTATTTCATATTTATATGAGACTGTGGCTGTTTATCGACTACTTGATATTTTAACATTCTTTTGAATTTCAAACTCAGATACAGTGGTAAAAATAATTTTCTAAACTAGGTTTTCGTTTGTGTTGTTTTTGCACCAAGGGGTAACATAACAATTTTTTGCTATCATTATGTTCGTTTGTTTTTCCACTATATCTGTACTATTATTTTTACATTAATAATCTTTTTATATAAGGTCAAAATAACTATTTAGAAGAATGGGATTTCTAACAGAAAAGTATCACTCATGTTTTTTAAGTAGACACAAGCAAAATGTTAAGAAAATTTGTCAAAGTGAAAGCTGCTAAGTTTCCTTCAATATAAGTAGTAAGTTGTATATTTGAATAAATCTTGTGGTTTTTTTTTTTTTTTTTTAAATAAGATATAGATGGCTAGCACCAACTGGCTTGTTGAATCCTTGTTTAGAAAATTCCTATTTTAGTTAGATCAGGTTTCTAAGAAACAAAGAGTGGATTTCAAACATTCTTCATAGACTTTGCCTTATTTCTTGGCAAGCCTCAACTAACAAGGCTTCTTTTTAAAGTAATTAGTTTGGGTCCGATTTGAATTCTTATGTAGAGTAACCGACCACTAAGAAATTGAATATCTTCTTTGATGTTTCCCCACTTAGAAGTTCTTCACTGCAGAGGGCTTCTTTAAAAGACTCATATATTTGCATAAGTGAACATGGTAGTTGTGTCTAAGTCTGATAGGCATAATGCACTGAGTAAGAAATTTCTCTCTATAATAGCTCAGGTTATCTTTCCTCTCCTTTTATTAGTCCCAGGAAGAAATTTTCTTAGTTATTATTTTTGAAATTCTGAGAGGTTCTAGATTACTATACAAAAGATGATTCATTAGATTTAAGTGACTTCCTTCTGAAATATTTCTGTTATCTGCATAACAAAGCACTCCAAAATGTAGTGGCGTATAAAACAGTCATTTTATTTGCTTGTGATTCTGCAATCTGGACTGGGCTCAGCTAGCAGCTTTTGGTTGGTCTTGCAAGCACCCACCAGCATATTTTATATGGTTCATTTTAAAAAATATATATATTTTATTGATTTTTTACAGAGTGGAAGGGAGAGAGATAGAGAGCCAGAAAGGTCGATGAGAGAGAAACATCGATCAGCCACCTCCTGCACACCCCCCACCGGGGATGTGCCCGCAACCAACATACATGCCCCTGACCGGAATCAAACCCGGGACCCCCCAGTCTGCAGAATGACACTATCACTGAGCCAAACCGGTTTCGGCTATATGGTTCATTTTTATGGCCTCTAATTCTTGCTTCATATTATAATATCTTCTATAGTTTTGGGGATATTATGCTTATATTAAATTCTTAGTGCATAAATTCTAGTAATGCTGTTTCACATATATATTTTAAATTTAAAAAAATATTTTATTGATTTTTTACAGAGAGGAAGGAAGAGAGGGATAGAGAGCTAGAAACATTGATGAGAGAGAAACATCGACCAGCTGCCTCCTGTACACCCCTCACTGGGAATGTGCCTGCAACCAAGGTACATGCCCTTGACCGGAATCGAACCTGGGACCTTTCAGTCCACAGACCAAAGCTCTATCCACTGAGCCAAACAGGTTTCGGCTATATATTTTAAATTTTGCTGTCTGTCTTTTATAACATCTGTCTAGCATGTCTTAGGTCATGTTCCCTGAAGGGAATCAGCAATCCTATGTGGACAAAGGCTAAAGACAAGGTCTGGCTTATGTGTCTTCCAGTGAATTTAAGGAAAGAAAATAAGGTGCAGGCTGGAGAACATCAGTGTCGTTCTGATTTGCATCTCTCGGATAATTAGTGACTTTGAACTTGTTTTCATATGTCTCTTGGCCTTCCTTCTGTCTTCTTTAGAAAAGTGTCTATTTAGGTCCATTGCCCACTTTTTGATTGGGTTGTTTATCTTTTTGATTGGGTTGTTTATCTAAGTTGTATGAATTCCCTGTAAATGGTGGAGATTATATAAATTGGTGATAATATTGGCAAATATGTTCTCCCACGCAGTGGGCTTTCTGTTGTTTTGTTGATGGTTTCTTTTGCTGTGCAGAAGCTTTTTTATTTTGATGTAGTCCCATTTATTTATTTTCTCTTTAGTTTCCATTGCCCTAGGACAGTGGTCAGCAAACTGCGGCTCACGAGCCACATGCAGCTCAAGAGCAGTGGTTTGCTGCTCTGTTGACTAATGAGTTTGCCTACCACTGCCCTAGAAGCAGTGTCAGTAAAGGAATTGCTTTGGCATATGTCTGAGATTTTGCTACCTGTGGATTCCTCTAGTATTTCTGTGGTTTCCTACCTTATGTTTAAGTCCTGTATCCATTTTTGAGTTTATTTCTGTGTATGATGTATGTTGGTGGTCTAGTTGCATTTTTTTTTTGCATGTATCTCTCCAATTTTCCCAACACCATTTATTGAAGAGACTTATGTACATTTTTTTAATAAAAGAACATGTTTTTAATTTTGCAGTTTGACTGAATTTTATGTTACTAAATTGGGAATTACTCTTACTCCTTAAATAACCTTGTATGCTAAAAATAAAGTGAAATTTAAAAATTATCTAAAATATTAAATAGGTGAATGAGACCAATGTAAAATCCCTTGTATGCCTACCCCCCAGATTGAAAGATTATTTTCAGGTCAGGGTTTAATACTCTTGCAAATTTCCAGAGCTTCTGTCCATGGGAAATTTAAAAAAAAAATTAAGTTTTCAACTACAACTGCAGCAGCCCCAGCGTCTCCCAGTTCATTCTGCTGGTGCTTGCTGGGAGCAACTTGGGCATAAATTTCTCATAGCCTTTCTAGGAGCAAAAATAAGTTGAAAAATATATTGGACATATGCTTTTCTCAAACTTTGGTTGGTATCTGTGCAAGCAACATATCTAACAGATTTCTAAAGCCATTATTGCATTAATAGTAGTTTTTTAAATTACAAGTAATTTCACATGTGGGGCTAATCTGATTGTTTTGATTTGGTTCCTTTCATAGAGAAAGAATGCTGAATCATATTTATTATGTAGATGTGTGTGGTAACCTTCCACATTTAGGAGAACCTGGTTTCATTAGCATTTTTATAAAGCCTGAATATTAGGAAGGCTGAGTTTATATCCATCCACAAATCTAATTTTTGTCCTGACTTCACAAATCTTTTCTTCCCTCTCCCCCACTTAGTTCCCCTTGCCTCTCCCGACGCATCTGCAGAACTTCAAAAGAATTTTATAGAACGTATCTCTTTCTTACAACAATATGATTCCAGGAAAACTCCCAATGAGCCAATGCGGGGTAAGGTGAGGCAGTATTTAGAATAAATTACTTAATACTTTATGGTGGGATATAGTTATGATAGAACCTGAAGTCTTTTTTAAGTCATCATCATCTTTCTCAAAGCCGATTTAAATACGTTAACATGGTTATTATACAATCTCGAACACGTCACAGTTAAAACTAAAAAAATGACATCATAATTTTGGATCACAGTGTAGAATTTGGTTTAAATTATTAAAATCATTCACGTAAGATAATAGCAAAAACATTTTGATAAACTTTTTGATATGCTTACATGTGTGGTGCAGGGGGATGCAGGTAAGGTTTACAGAGTCAAATAAATATAATAATAGTCAATGGCTGGATATTTAAATGCTTGTTTTCATATTTCACTATAACTAAGTCATCTGTGGGAGCTAATAGACATTTGGCATTGGAATCAAAAATCCTCACATCGATGAACTGTAGTTTCTATAGTATCCACGGCAACCTATGGAGCAAGGAATAAAATTTGATAATGAATCGCCTTATACAATCCAAGAATTAGGAGCTGAGAATGGCAGATAATGAGGTGCTGCTTCTATGACTTTCTGCTTTTTCCTTCCTGTTCATTTCCTGGTGCATCTATTTCATAATTTGTTTAAAAGTTCACCAATAATTTTGGGATGAAGGTAAGAGCCAATGAAGAAGCAGAGATGGAAAAAAAAAAAAAAAAAAAGCAGTAGCAGAGATATAAGTGCCTGAATCACCAGGACTTGATCTAACACAGTGGTCGGCAAAGTCATTAGTCAACAGAGCCAAATATCAACAGCATAATGATTGAAATTTCTTTGGAGAGCCACATTTTATAAACTTAAACTACTTCTAACACCACTTCTTCAAAACAGACTCGCCCAGGCTGTGGTATTTTGTGGAAAAGCCACACTCAAGGGGCCAAAGAGCCTCATGGGGCTCACGAGCCACAGTTTGCCGACCACGGGTCTAACACATGAATTCAGTTCATAGTCCCAGCAACTTGTATTCCCTGATTAATGTCAGCTTTGTTTTCCTTTGCAGCGGTATGGAGTTTTTATGCAGATAGAGATAAAACCAGGGAGTAGGCCAAGCGCCCCTCCGGGAACAGAGGCAGGACTGACTGCTCCAGAACAGTCCAAGAAACCAGAGAAAGGAAATCCAGCAGAGAGCAAAATGACGTCACCGGGCCTTGGCCAACAAAAGTCCTCAGAGCTGTTAGAGCCTAAAACCCCCTTATCAGAAACAGACGTCAGAGAGGCGGCCCAGGCCTGCCCCACGAGTCCCGCGGGGAGGATGTCTGCGGACGGCGCTCCCAGGACTGCAGCGGATGCTCCGACCACCAGGCACAGTCCTTCAAATCCGCCAGCGAAAAGTCCGGATAAAGTACCTTCTTCAGATAAAGACTTAACCCTCGGAACATAGAGAAATTTCAGAATCATCATATAGGCTCTTGCAGTTGCTTTTTCTGTTACCAATAACCTCAAAACATACAATTTACATAAACAAGAGAATTTTTTAAAAAGACAATTATATCAAAATTTTAAGAGATGTCTTAAGAATTTTTATTCTCTAGTCTTTTTTCTCATTTCTACCCCCTCCATTCTCTCTCTTCGTTCCTTCTGGAACAGCTACTCGTTGAATGATGGAATACTTGGATTTATCTTCTATGCCTCATATATATATATTACTGATTATTTTACAGAGAAGAAGAGAGGGGAATAGGGAGTTAGAAATATCGATGAGAGAGAATCATTGATCAGCTGCCTCTTGCACACACCCCCACTGGGTTTGTGCCCGCAACCAAGATACATGCCCTTGACTGGAATCGAACCTGGGACCTTTCAGTCCGCAGGCTGACGCTCTATCCACTGAGTCAAATCGGTTTCGGCTATCTTCTATGCCTCTTAACTTTCCTCTCATTATCCTTCCCATGGTACTTTACCACTAAATGACACTAACTTTCTATTAATTTGCTATTCAGCCTTGTCAGTTATTATGCTGGCCATCTATTGAAATTTATAAAAATTTTACTATTATATTTTAAATTTCCAAAATCTATGCATGCCTTCTAAACACACAAGACTCTTCCTATAGTATGGGTAGGACAGCCTCTCCTATCCCCTTAGAACAGTGGTCTGCAAACTCATTAGTCAACAGAGCCAAATATCAACAGTACAATGATTTCTTTTGAGAGCCAAATTTTTTAAACTTAAACTTCTTCTAACGCCACTTCTTCAAAATAGACTCGCCCAGACCATAGTATTTTGTGGAAGAGCCACACTCAAGGGGCCAAAGAGCCCCAAGTGGCTTGTGAGCCGCAGTTTGCCGACCACGGGCTTAGAATAATATGATAGTCTTTAGTGCCACTTTCCTAGCATTGTACTTCTTCCTTAAATGTTTGGTGCTTCTTGGTTGCATACTCTTCTTGGAGTATGAGGTTTCCAGATCCTTATCAGCAGAAGCTGTTTCTGTCCATCACAGCCTAACTTTGGGACAGGGTTGGGATATGTAGTCAGACAGGATCTGAGGAGGACTTGTCTGAGAGGCCCTCTGATCCTCCTGAGGGCCAGTAGCTGCTCGGGCACTGCCTTGGTTTTTCAGATGCAGTGTCTGATTTGATTTGTACCAGAGCTTCCCATTGCTGAGCCCCGCAGAACGGGACAGGGAAAACGCATGTGCTGCTCCACATGCAGTTCCCTAATTTCCCACACGGATCCATGTCCCAGGTCCCTTCTCCTTCCCAATGTCCACACACTCTCAGCAGAGTTCTGTAAGACCTATCTCCACAGCAGTCAACGCTACATATGTTACACATGTGTCAGATTTTGTTTCATTTAGTTTTGTTCTCTGGTAATAGCTTTTTAAATTTATTAAAAATGTGTTTATTTTGATAATAAGTCTCCCTGTTTTTCAATATTATTAAACTCTATTTTATTCTCTGTTTTATATATAGCTATATGTATTTTTATAAGCAGATGTGTATATCTGTCTGCCATTTTGAGTCAATTTCTAATTTCCTTTTAAGTAAATCATTTGAAAACTACACACTTAAATATTAGTAAATAAATTCTCTGCAACAAAGCCTCACAGTTGACTGACAAACATCACTGAGAATTGACACAATCTTTTCTTTTTTTAAATCCTCATCTGAGGGTATTTTTTCCATTGATTTTTTTTTTTTTTAAGAGAGAGAAAGAGTGGAAGAGAGAAGTGCAGGGGGGGGGGGAGAGAAAAAGATAAAAGCATCAATGTGAGAGGGACAGATCAACTGGATGCCTCCCACACATACCCTGACCAGGCCCGGATATTGAAACCTGCAACTCAGGTATGTGCCCTTGACCGGAAATCAAACATATGATCCTTTGGTCCTCAGGCTGATGCTCTAACCATTGAGAGAACTGGCCAGGGTAACACATTCCTCTTTCTTAAGAGAATATGTTTTAGTAAGAAATAGAGGATCTGGAGCCAAATAGCTTAGTTAGTGGACCACTACCATAGTCTAGGTTGGCAGTTCTCAACATTTTCAAATAAGAGGACATCTTTTGCGCATTAGAAAAATATTTATGGTCCCTCACAAAACAGCAATAGAACTTTCAGTATCCATAGTTTCAGAAAACACTTAATAACAAAATGCAATGATGATTTCCAGGTTCAAGTGTCTTTTTTAACTGATAAGGGTGTATCTCTCTACGATGAATTTCATAGCCTATTAAAGTTATAACAGCCTGTCAGTACAGATAGTACTCTTAAATTTCACAAGAAAAATGTTTTCCAAGTAATTCCCTTATTAGGTATTTTAGTAGAATAAAAATCCCTTACCAAGATACAGGATTTTCTTTTTCAGCTTACCAAACCAAACCAAACCAAACAAACAAACAAAAAAAAAAAAAAAGAAAAAAAAAGAAAAAGAGAACAAAATAAAAAAACCATGAACTTTCATATTTTAAGACTACCTTAATGAATGTGTTAATAATATTGTTATTACTAATACCATAAGGTTGTATGTTTTAAGCTTAAAAGCATTTTCAAATCCATTATATCGTGATCCATATAATGCTAGGAGCAGAGCAAATACTTATATCCCAATTTTATGGTTAATTATAGGCTCAGAGACCTTCCATGGTCCCTCTAAGTTAGCAGTCAGCAAGCACTGAAGTGAGGACCAGAACCTTGGCTTCTCAATGCCCAGTCTATTTATTTCCAAATGCAAACAGGATAAATGAAACACATACACACATACACATACACACACACACACACACACACACACACACACACACACACTCACTCACCAAGGCCCATGTAAGAAGCATCAGGAAAAAAAAATTTCAATGCTTTTATTGAGAGATTATAATTTTACTACTTTGGGGGATTTAAGATACTCTTATTTATTACGAACTTTAAGTTGATTTGGGAAGCACCCGTCATTTCTAACACAGATAAATGTCCATTAAAACAACAAAAACAGTTGAAATGCACAACGAGGCACTAAAACAAGAAATCGAAATCCTCGGGTGCCAGGAACAGAACACGACAGTGGTGAGCAAGAGGTGAGGCTAAACAGGCAACTGAAGAAGTGGAAACAGATGTTGAACTTGGTGGCAAGGATTTTCCTAGCTGAGCTGGAAGAGGGACTTGAGGCCCACGTGCTGCGGAGTTTGAGCTAAACATAGAGCCAGGATGCTAAGAAAACTCCACTGCGGTGAAAAGGACACTAGACAGCTCGTCCCATGAGCCTGAGAATTAGGGGAGGAAGTGCACTGATCACCACGCAGAAGGCACACAGGAGCGGGAGTCAAATGTCCCTTCATGAGCAGTGCCAGTTCCCAAACCAAGAAAGCAATAAAAAACTGGTTTGAACCAGGGAAACCTGAAGGACCCTGGTAGAGATTAATATGACACTGCCCCATTCTAACACTTTACAATCCTGAATACGTGAGCCACCATGAAAAGAAATACCCATGATGAGATCAAGAAGGAAAACTTTTAGGGAAGGGAGTTAGCAGAATTCATGCCCCACGAATTACAGACAATAGAGCATAATTATAGCTAAGTATGCATAAAACAATTCAAGACATAAAAGAATAAAAACTATGTAGAAAAGCCATACAAATAGCCATATTGGAGGGGGGGGGGGGAAGAGGTTATAGAAGTTCTAGGGATTAAAAAAAAAGTAATTAAAAAAAAAACTTAACTGGGACAGTAGCTTAAGGAAAACACACACACACAAAACACAGTAAACTGGAAGATAGAGCTAAAGAAATCTCACAGACAACAACAGAAAAAGATAAAAGAAATCCTAAAAAGAAGCGACACAACAGCCTATTATTAAGAGCTTCAGAGGATATGCTAGAAGGACTATGAGGGGGAGGAATTTGAAATAAAAATAGCCCTAGTAGAGATTACTACTGGTTGCCAATAACAAATCTCCCTCTCTACCTTATTAATAGAATCACCCATTTTTAACTGGGAATTGGCTGCCGAAGTGAAAACAGTATTTCCTGGTTCCCTTGTAGCTGGCTTGACCACAGGAGTATGTTCTGGGATAGAACTACAGCAGCATGTGCAACGTCCAGAAATGCCCATCAAAGGAGGGGGTAGCCCTTCTCTGTACTTTCCCTTTCCTAGTAGCTGGACTACAGATATTGTCATTTGGGTGGAGGCTCTCCTTGCTGTGAGTGGTAGAACGATAAGATAGAACGGTCCCTGAGCCCCTGATGTCATTAAATGCCACCTGGATTGCCTCATTGAGAAGGAAAGAAACGTCTATGTTGTATAAACCACTGTGGTTTAGAGAGTTTTTTTTTTTTAAATCACTTGCAGTAGAACCTAATCATAAAGTACACAATGATTGAATTCTGAAAAATGAAATTCGATTCACACATGGACACACAAGGGTAAAGCCACAGCTCATCGAATGTAAAGAGAAAAACCTTAAAAGCAAATCAGAGAGGAGATTCTGACTTAGGAAGGAAAGTCAATCATAATGGGAGCAGGCAGGCTTCTAAGCAATAGATGCAAGAGGTAGTGGAGTGATAGCGTGAAAATGCTGAAGGCAAAAATGGTCAACATAGAATTTCACCCTTAACTGAGCTATAATTCAAGAATGAGAACAAAACATGAACATTTTTTTCAGACATACTTAGATTAACAATAACAGCTAGTGCTTATATAACACAATTTTACAAGGCACTATTCTGAGAGCTTTGTGCATTTTAACTCACAGTGTTAACCCCCACAACAACCCTCTGAGGTAGATACTATTAATATTGCCATATTAAATATTATGAAACTAAGATACAAGGCGGTTAAGGAACTTGCCAGCGGCCACATAGCTAGCACATGGCCAAACTGAGATACAAGCATTTTGCTCCAGATTCTG